GATGTTTCTATCTCTCTATCCCTCTCCCTTCTTCTATTTCTAAAAATCAATAAAAACATATTTAAAAAGAAAAGAAAAGACAGGCAAGACCTACATGTGCTTATCTATTTCCTCCGCTGCAGCTAGAGTTAGGGAATGGGTGAGTCCAGGAGAAGGGGGACCTGCAGTTGGCCAGGCCAGTCCCCATGACCTCACCTTCCACAGCACCTTGTCCCACTTATCTCCAAAGTAGCCTCTGCAATGCTCCATCCGGGCCTCATCCTCGAGCGTCACCGTGGTGACAGGCACCACCCCCGCTGGGAAGTCCAGGCAGTTGTAGAGCAGAGTGTAGCTGACGGCCCCTGAGACACAGCACACGCGGCTGGAGCAGGCCGGGTGACCTTCGGTGCCAACTGTCCTGTCTGCGCCTCAGTCTCCCATCCCGTGAAGTGGCACCCGACCTCCACAGGCAGGGATAGGCTCTCTCCCAGGGCTGAGACTTGAGTGAATGACAAAGCCCAGGAACCCAGATGCAGGCCAGGCTGGAGAGCCTGCTGCGGTTTGCCCCAAGCCTCTGCCCATGCAGCTTCCCCAGCTGGAATGTCACTCCTGTTTTCTTGGTTTATCGAAATCCCACCTCCCCAAACCACAGACTCTGTAACTCAAGATCTCCCACTTGAATAGTGTGGAGGACGGGGAGTTCATTCCCTCCCAGGACATCCCATCTTTGCAGCCAGCCAGACTATGAGTCGCCTCAGAGCCAGATCCTCCCCAGGGCTCCTCCTCTTCTCCTTCCCAGCAGCCTGGCCAGGCACAGGGCTGAACTCATAGAAGAGAAGGGATGGGTGGGGCTGTCACGGGCATGGTGGGGAAGCAGGCCTCACCTGTGGCCTTGCCTGGGGCATTCAAGTCCATAGCAGGGCCCAGCATGGGCGTGAGCAGCACATCCAAGTCCAGTGCTCTCCACTGGGTAATCACAGAGCTGCGGTACACCTGGGGAGGGTACCAGCACAGCGGGTGAAGCACTCAGACCCAGCCCAGCCCATAAGCTCTTCGATGCAGGCACTGGGTGGCTGGAGGCGGGGTGGCTGGGGGCTGGGGAGCCACAATGGGATGGAGGTCCTCAGGGCACACAGGCAGGACTGCTTTCAGGGGGAAGTGATTTCCCC